CCATGTTAAAATCAGTTCTCTGCTCAGTAACCTTTGATGGTTGTCTGACTCGTCATCCACGAAACCGAGTGACTTGTACATATTCGACGCCAAGTATCGAATATAGGCTTTAAGTGGATCGTAAGCCAGATGTCCATCGGATCGTTGAAGTAGATAACTAATTCCATTGAAGAACGCTTTCCACGGCAGGTATTCTTTTTCGCTTTTCAGATAGATCACGTATTCGAATGCTTCCCAATATGAGATGTAATCTGCGCGAGCCAAATTCAAAGAATCGTCGACGATTTGGGCGCGGTTTGTCACATGGATGCCACCGTAATTTATTGTCCTTATCGCCTTTATTATACTGTTCCATGAGTCGTAATTGTATTGTACGCGATAAAAGCCACTTTGCTGAACGTTCACGAGTACCCAGTCCTCAGATTCGTTCAGATAAATGGTCTTGGATTGTGGTCCAAGCCAAATATTTGTCCAGGTTGTTGTAAAGTCAGGTTTAGAAGAAGTCGCTACGGTGATCGGGATCCAGAAATAAACGCCATTGTCCTGTATGCCATCGAAGGAGAATTGTCTCTGAAAGAGAAAAATGCGAACCGTCTGTTATAATATATATAGAGAGAATCTCAGAGAAATAATTATTTTTTCGAGTAAAATGAGAAAAAATTGTTATATATTGATAATAAATACACACAAAAGTTATAACTGAATAATATATAAGGTAATAAAATAAAAGTAAAATAATAATAATTGTTGTTATTATTATAAGACGATTGTTTTCAATGCCGATAACTATCATCGATCAGAGCTGTTACATTTTGGTTGTTTATAACAGTTACAGCCAAGGAGAGATTGTTGCTGCTACTTATAACAATTAGCTACGAGGAAAATTGTATTTTAGATTAGCTGCTACACAGTAGGTATGTTATCTACGTAAACAAGAATTTTATAAAATAAAAAATCAGCATGTCAATAAAGACTGAGACTAAAATGAATCTGATGGTAAGAGTTCAGTAAGTGTCTGCTGGAGTTGCAAACATGATGTTTGTCCATGAAGTTAGTAATTTTTATATGAAGAATAAACTTTTTCGGTAAACAATTCAACTACATTTTTTTATCAGGTTCAATATTTTAAGTACCTGATGTAATTCTATGCTCCTGTTATATCTGGTTACGTGTACAACAGGGTATCCAGGTTTATTGGTCCAGTTGTCCATCAAGTTTTCCACAGTTCGCCAGTCCCCGGGTGTTCCC